AATATTTCTGCAAGAATAATAATTTAGTTAAAATAGTGATCATCTGATCTCTCAATTGAAATGATACAATTTTGTAACTTTGGAAAAAATTAATTACCTGTGGAAAATATTTTGAGATCATGTGAAGATTCTGCTTCACAACTATCTTTCATTCAATCATTTTAGCTACTGTTGATTTTCTTTCCTGGCTCAGTTATTATGTGGGAAGTTGTATAATGCTGGTGGTCTATTTATCATTAACTTTATATTTATTAGCAGTCTCTCTCTCTCTCTCTCACAACTATCTTTCATTCAATCATTTTAGCTACTGTTGATTTTCTTTCCTGGCTCAGTTATTACGTGGGAAGTTGTATAATGCTGGTGGTCTATTTATCATTAACTTTACATTTATTAGCAGTCTCTCTCTCTCTCTCTCTCTCTCTCTCAATCACTACAGAATCATGTGTTGTTGATTTAATTCATTGTGTCATGTGGATGCTCACTTTGTTTTATATTTGAGTGATGGAGCCATTTTCAAGGCATCTAATCTATCCTTTTGGCCATAACTCTGTTAGGCTTTCAGCATCTCTTGGCCTCAGACCTGATAAAATTTCCCAGCATCATCTTCTACTTTTCTTATTGTACACAGAATAAAAAAGCTATTCATTTCTCCAAAGACTTCTGATTCCTTTGGAGAAATGAATAGCTTTTTTATTCATTCATTCGTGGGAAATAATGTTTAAAAACTAATATCTGGGATCTGGGTGTGTTTAAGGACAGAAGAAATACTAGGGGTGTGGTTAAGGAGAAAGCTGGAACATGATTAACAGGAGAGTGAAAGGAGTTCAGAACAGAAAGGAAGAGGGGCTATATCATTTAATCATGTTAGCTATTGTAAAGTTTGCATTTTATATTAAGTGCATTTCTGTGAAGAGTGTCATTGGTATTTTGATGGTATTTGATATTCAATCTACCATTGAATCTGTAGATTGCTTTGGGTAGTATAGACATTTTCACTGTATTAATTCTTCCAGTCCATGAACAAGGAATGTCTTTATATCGTGTGGTGTCCTCTTTAATTTCTTTCAGCAGAATTTTGTAGTTCTCATTGTAGAGATCTTTCACCTCTTTGGTTAAATTTATTCCTATGAATGTTATTCTTTTGGTAGCTATTGTAAATGGGCTTGCTTTCTTGATTTCTTTTTCTGCTTGTTTTTTGTTGTTGTAAAGGAACACTACTGATTTTTGTGTATTGATTTTGTGTCCTGCAACTTTACTGAATTCATTTTTCAGCTCTAGGAGTTTTTTGATAGAGGTTATGGGTTTTTCTGTTTTATATAGTATCATGCCATCTGTGAACAGTGACAATTTGATGTTGTATTTTCTGATTTGGGTGCCCTTTATTTCCTATTCATGCCTGATTGCTGTGGTTTATACTTCCATTATTATATTGAAAAGGAGTGGTTAGGGGCCGGCCCGTGGCTCACTCGGGAGAGTGCGGTGCTGATAACACCAAGGCCACCGGTTCAGATCCTAGAAAAAAAAAAAAGGAGTGGTTAGAGTGGGCATCTTTGTCTTGTTTCTGTTCTAAAGGAGAAACTTTCAGCTTTTCCCCGCTGATGATATTGGCAGTGGGTGATGATGTTGTTGGTGGGTTTGTCATATATGGCTTTTATCATATTGATATATTTTCCTTCCATATCTAATTTGTTGAGAGTCTTTATCACAAAGTGAATCTTAATTTTGTCAAATGTGTTTCCTGCATGTATTGAGATAATTGTATGGTTTTTGTCCTCACTTTTGTTGATGTGGTGTATCACATTTATTGATTTGCATATGTTGAACCATCCTTGCATCCCTGGGATGAATCTCACTTGATCATGGTGTATAATCTTTTTGATGTGCTGTTGTCTTCTGCATTGCTAATATCTTGTTGAGGATTTTTACACCTATGTTCATCAAGGATATTGGCATGTAGCTTTCTTTTTTTGTTGTGTCTTTGTCTGGTTTGGGTAGAGGGTTGGCCTCTGTTTCAATATCTTGAAAGAGTTTGAGAGGAATTGGTTAAATCCTCTTTAAAGGTTTGGTAGAATTCAGTGGTGAAGCCATCTGGTCCTGGGCTTTTTGACTTCTGATAACTGTTTCAATCCAATTACTTGTTATTGGTCTATTCATGTTTTGTATTTCTTAATTCAGTCTTGGTACTTTGTATGTGTCATTGGAGCATCTTAAGCAGGGGTGTAGTTTAATCTGATTCATGTTTAAAAGATTATTGGACTGCTTTGTATAGAATAAATTAATTATACAAAAATAATCTTGAATATCTAAATTAGATAGATTACTTTCCAGTAGAGATAGAAGATTTAAACACTTAATATGGAATAAATACAAAAAGTTAGAAAAGTTATCGTTCCTGAAACAAGAGAGTCAGGCGTACCCATTGATAAGTTTCACAAAATCAAAAATAAAATCTACTTTAAATAAAGTCTACTTAAAATTTATGTTAAAAGTTGACAAAGGTAAAATATTTAAAAAAGCAAAGACTTAATTGCTTATGGATATCAATGCAGAAATTTTAAGTAAAACATTAGTAAATAGCATTCATCTTTTAAGATAGATAACTGTGGACTCAAAGGGTATGTGCTAGAAATCCAAGAGTGTCTTAACATTAGACTATTTAATTATATAATTTACCTTATCAAAGAATTAGAGGATATCAATAAGATGAAACAGAGAGAGCTAAAGCTTTGACAAATTTGTAGCATCAATTCCTACCTTCTGTTTCATTTGTATAAAAATTGACTGGGCCCACTAATTTCATCAAAAAATCATTATCCCTGTCAAACTGATAATAGTAACTTAATTCCGTCATCTTTAAATAATCTTTATTTGCTTCCTTCAAACCCATTCAACACTACTTTAAAAATAAAACGTGCTTTATAAAATTGATTCCTGTCATTGCCTGTTTCCAAAAAATTGACAGCAAAATCAAAGAAATTTGCCTTAATTTGTTTAAAATTTAAAACAGTAGAAAATAGCATTTTCCAACTGTCTTTAGTTCTGTATAAATATTTTAATAAGTTTATAAGGCAATTTCATAAAATAAAGGCTTTTTCCTAAAATTAATTTGTGTCTAAAGACCTAATGGAAAAGTTTCATCTTCAATTTTTTCTTGGATATGAGTCAAACAAATAAATGAATAAATTAAGTTTGATCATCTTACTACTAATTAATGTATAGAGAGAACATGGCAAAATAGATATTCTACTCTATTTTTATCATCGAAATATTTCTTAACTGTGTTGCCTTAGGTTCTGAGTTCAACATGGTCTCTTATGGAAAATATGCTTTTGTTAGAAAGAGTGAGAGGAGAAACCTACAAACATTGAATGTACCCTATAAAATTTTTGTACACTCAGGTAGAGCAATAGTTTTGGTGAATGTCTAGCCCCATTAGCAGCAAATAATTAAAAGCCATATGGTGTGGAGAGAGATCGGTATCTATGAAAGCCTTTCTCTGTAAAGAAAAAATATTTTATCAAATGGAGTCATATCAAACCACTCTGATATAGAACAGAAAAAGAAACATGAGCAAAGTCTCCAGAACTAGCTGAGAGTAAACCTGTCCAGGTTCATAGGGACAGAGATGTGAAAGTGGGAGCAATCACACTTATTGAAAATATTTTCTCTTCCAACCACTTAATTCCCACCATTCACTATGATGTAGAAGATAGCATTATCATATCCTGTTTACAGATGAGAAAATGAAACTCTGAGGCATAAAGCAAACTTCTAGTGTTGTAGTGAGTTAATGTGAACTCACAGAGAGAGGCAGGAAACACTGAGGCTTAAAAGAGAAAACAGAGTTTATTGATATGCTGGCATTGGCTCAGCAGACTTTAGTCACAAAGGCTGAGCCCTGAATGCAGCATGGCTGTTATTTTTATATTACAGCATTTCCAGGATTTTGTAACCAGGCAAGGGGGGTGTTCTTATGATCTTATGTGGTTGTGACTTTGTCTCAGGATGGAAAATTACAGCAAGAGAAGAAGCAGAATAGAAAATTCTGTTACAACAGTATGTGTTAACCACAGTGTGAGAAGTCAAGAGTGCAGCTGCAGCTGGGTCTGTATGACATGTGGGTGAGGGTCTTGTTTACAGCATAGAGGGGCACAGCCAGGCAGACGTGAGTGCCTCACTAGTATCATCTAGCCAGTGATAAAGATGGAGTTTAAACCTAGGTCACTTTGCCTAGGAAGTCAACTCAGTACTCTACACTATGCCTGTTCTCTGGCGAATAAGAACAGTTCCTTCTATGCTTTGATTTTTATCCTCACATAACCAACAACCAACCTTCATAATGTTAACTGATTTTCCACATAGTTTTGACAAGGAATGAGCTAGGGTCTATGGTAGCCACTTGTGATGTTTAGCGAGAATTCATAAATAGATTTTCTAGTTCCAGTAAGACTGAGTTATGGAGAGTTTACACAAGGTTCTGATCATTCCTGAATATATTTGACAATGTGATTTGAGAAATGAGTCCCATGCAGAGCTATATACAGCCCATGTGCAGAATGGCAGCATTCAAGTCATTTTTGAACATCAGCCTGTTCATTGCAAAATCATCAATATGTCCCCTTTTTTTTTACTTATACCCTTTCTCTACCCATCTTTTATATCTTACAGAAAATGAATATATATATGTATATATTTTTTAAAATTAGAAAGTACATCCAGAACCCAACATGTTTCCAAAGAAAAAATAAACTGACAATAAATACAGAAAATGCCAGTCATAGAATCAAATCATCCTCCTCTATTAACCTGATTTTCCCTGCCTAGTTTCCATTATTTGCAGCCATGTGTGGCACGTGTGTGAGTGTTATCTAGACATGTGGGAATTTTCTTGTTTCTATGACTTCTGAATAAGCCAGGCTCAAAGCAAACTTAAAAGCAAACTTGTAGTCATTTAATGAAATAATCAAATCTGTGATTAAATTATCTCTTTATTTTTACAGGTTGTTTGGGCTACTTCTTACCTCATTGGCTGTGCTGTTGCATCATGCCGTGAAAAAAGTTTGCCTCGATATCTATATGTTTGTCATTATTGTCATGAGTATGTATTATTGGTTTCTCACAGATTTTAAAAATATATACCCCTAAAGAAACCTAATCTAGTTTTTCAAACATTATAAAAGAAAACTCAAAAAAATTTTTTTTCAGTTAAGCACATCTTTAGGAATAAAATGTCATTTAGCCAATACTTAACAAATTACACATATGCACACACATATATACAAACACACATCTGTGTTTTTAAATCATATTTTTATTAAATAAATCTACATCTCACGAATAGAATGTCAAAACTCAGAACTTTGGGCCGGCCCGGTGGCGCACTTGGTAGAGTGCGGTGCTTGGGAGCAG